GAGACCTACTCCGCCATCGTGGTGCTGTCGCTGTTAGAAAAACTACCATAGCAGCTCCGTTTGACCATCACATGGGGAGAGGACCATCACGAATGGAACCTGGAGCAGTTGTTGGACGTCCTGGGCCGCAAGGCCTAGCTGCGAGAGGAATACAACAGAAGCGCGAGACACGCAAGGAGCCCTTGTGACGAATCAATGAAAAAGAAACACACCATGCACACTGGAAAGCAAGCGAACTATCAGGACTGTCCCTTTTGCTTAGGAGGACACAAACATGAAGATTGCCAAAAAGTCAAGAACGTCAGAGCGCATAAGCAATTACTAATTAAGTTTGGTCGTTGTTTTAGTTGTATTCGAAAGGGACACCTTTCTAAAGACTGTAGAGCTAATTTAACTTGTAAGTTTTGTAAAGGCAAACATCATTCGTTTATTTGTAGTGCCGAATCCCCAGGGGAGGGGGGAGCGTCAGAAAGTGAACCAAGTAACGTTGAGTCAGTGGGCAATAAAATGCACATAGAAACCGGGAATAGTGTTGCTTTACAAACGGCACAAGCCCAAGTAGCAGGGAAGTGCAACACGCGAATAAGAGTGCTTTTTGATACCGCCAGTCACACTTCTTTTGCTACAGCGCATGTGGCATGAATGTTTAGTTTAGAAACTCTCCGGAAAGAGTGGCTCGCCATCAACACCTTTGGACAGCGAGCAGCGGGTTCAAACTTGAGGGACGTTGAGATCAGTTAGAAATAGATGTCCTCATTGGGGCAGATTATTTGTGGAGTTTTCAAACTGGCAATGTTGTCCGGGGAGGTGTAGGGGAACCTGTAGCCATAGAAACGCAATAAGGATGGGTTGTTTCCGGTCCCTTAGAGTCTAGTCCATCGACAGATAGAGAGCGAGCAGTTAGAGTAAATATTATAGGAAGAGATGGTACAGTTCCAGGAAGATTAGAGCGAGATGTTCAGGTTCTTTGGGATTTAGAAATGTTAGGAATAACAAAGAGTCACGGAGCGTACGAGGAATTTGTAGACAACATTACGTTCAATGGAAAGAGGTATTCAGTAAAGCTGCCATGGAAGGAAGGGCGTGATGTTTTAGACAGTAATTACGAATTGAGTTTGTAAGTAATTACGAATTGTCACGCATGAAAGGACAGGTAAGAAAGCCTAGAAAAGAGCCAGAACTGTTGAGAGAGTATGACTCAGTTATCAAAGAACAGCTAGCTTCAGGAGTGATAGAAAGAGTGGAATAATCAGGAAAGGCAGATAGAGTCCATTATATCCCACATTTGGCTGTCATACACAAAGAAGCCAGCACAACCAAATTGAGAATGGTGTATGACGCGTCAGCAAAATCAGGTAAGGAAAGTGCATCATTGAACGACTGTTTACACAAAGGACCGTCTCTTACCCCATTGCTGTTCGACATTTTGTTGAGGTTTAGAGAGAAAAGGGTAGCACTGATTGGAGATGTAGAAAAGGCATTTTTGAACATTGAGGTGGATAAGGAAGACAGATTTCCTGAGGTTTTTGTGGCTAGGTCGCGTGAGTGACCCCTCAAGCGAGATTCTCATATATCGTTTTTGTCGTGTATTGTTTGCTTTAAACGCGTCTCCTTTCCTTCTGAATGCCACGCTTAGACACCATATCTCCAAATTTAAAAGATGAAGATCCAGAATTTGTGAGAAGAATGATTGAAAGCTTTTACGTGTAAAAATTATGCAAATTCACTCTGTCCCGCTGCCTTTCTCTTTCATAGGCAACATGTTCATCCTTCACTCTGTCCTCATAAATTAGAACCTGCATGACATTAGATACGAGAGCATCCCTTTCCTTTACAGGCTTTAAATAACAACTCAAGGTGAGTTTCAATTCTCCAACTATCACATGGCCTCCTCTAATATGTCTTCTCTCCTTCTTTTTAGATAAATAGTCTCTCCCTCTCTTATTTTTCCACTGGATTATTTCAGAGGTAACTAATTTCGTCCTGCTTGCTACAATGACATCCACAGATTTCTTTAGGGCAGCCATCTCCAGCTCTATATCGTTCTCTTTCTCTACAAAATCCTGTCTTATTTTTTTGTCTTTACATGTCACCACACCCCAAACATATGTATTCAACATCTACTTCCTTCCTTAATTTGTACAGCTCAAAGCTGCACCTAGCTAATCTACCATATAGTTTGTCAATTCTTTGTAAATCACTTCTCACGCGAGAAGTAATAGAACGAGATTTGATAACCTTTTCATGCCAAATTTGTAAATTATTTGACGTTTTGTTGTCTAAGCATCCTCTGCTACTTTTACATCTGTAATTTTTACTAACGGCCTAACTAACAAACATACTTAAGCGTTTTGCTCGCGTATAGGAGTAATTTAAAGTATACAAATGTTCAGTCCCTTAGCATTTCTTAGCACGCGACAAGTACTGGAGAGAGATACAATTTTTTGAATTTTTAAAAAAACTTGGCGTAATCAATGGAATCACGTAACCCACGTTATTTCCTCAGACTATCCAAGCCTTCAGGCAAACCTCTCTAGCACCAAAAACAGGACAAGTAAACCTTCATAACACATAACCTTCTGTATTTACACTAAGACTAAATTCTTCGTTTTCAACCACGTGACCAAATTTTGTTATGTAACTCGCGTCCGCCATGCTGGTGGACAAAAGCCTACCACAGTGCACAATGGAGTTCACCTTGTTTATTATTTCCATGTTATTTACCTCGGCCTCGAGACCTGCACAGATGCAGAAATGTTTCAAAGTAACTGACCTTGTCAAAGGTCAGTGCACTTTTTACAATTCAACCGCATTGAGCTCCAAGGAAAAAGTGCACAATGCCCTCATAATTGAGCACTTCAAGCCACTTTTTAGTTCAAGCTGCTTGCCGTATGCCCAGATTTTAGATTGCTCTACATTTTTTTTTTGCATTTCTTCACATTGCCAAGGTTCAACCATGCCACCACCGTTGCCTCGCCATAAAAACATCCTGTATTCACCTTTTTTGCACAAGCAAAATACAAATACACTGAACTGCTCAAAACTGCCATCTCCTCCTCAAGTTTGTATTTCTCCACCCTTGCCACCAACTGCGTCTTCTCCTGTCTCTGTCCTTGTGTCGTCGTCATCAGCATTTTTTCCGTTCTTCAACTCAGCGCCACTTTCACACACGACCTCATCCTTGCAGTTTCATTACCTTTAATATGTTTAGTTGTTTTTCTGCCTTTAATTTTACTTGACGTCCGCCGTCTATTATTTCCACGTAGTCAACCACCTACATTAAACAACACAAGTGTCATTTTTACTCCCCACACAGCACCGCCATCACCTATTCCATCATCATTATCATCAACACTACCGTCTTTACCTCAACCATCAGCAACACCAACACCTACTCTGCCTCCCCTTCCTCCAAAATTTTGTCTGCCCATTTACAAGAACACTGACAGAAGAACTATATACCCGGTATCAGATCTTTGTTAATATTAAAATATATTTTATCTAGTTTTTAATGTTTTCAGTTCGATAGGGCTTTCTTTAGTAAAAGAGAACGTTTGAATTTCTAAACTTTTGCATAGTGACAATAAAATGGCGACCCAGAATTGAACTGCAAAAGTTGTGTCTATAGCTACGATGATCATCTTTTAAATAATTCTTCAACCCGCAGTTCCCATATATGATTTTCATATATTCATAACTTCAATTTACACTATATTAAACATTTTCAATCATACCCTCTCCAACACATTATTCATTTCTCTTTTAATGAATGAATATCCTTTATTTCGACATGATCAGAATAAAAGCAGTTAACTGCTTGAGGGGTCATGTATACTAAAATATATAATCTTACTATGGTATACATAAAAGGTCTTGGCAAATTTTAAGTAATTTCAGTAACATTTCCATAATAACCCCAAACATTATCCTCTTCAGAAAATAAAGGCGTTTTCCACAGGCCTGACCTGAAAGTTACCATTCAGTCGGTTGGTGGATGTTTTTCAACATTTCATTTCAATATTTTTGTAGTATTAAATTTGTGAAAAATATTATAAGATTTATTTGGACCTCAAAGCTATAGCTTTATCAAGCACATGCCGTTTCTTGTAGTTTACATAGCTTAATTAAAATAGCAAAACAAATAGCATTATACGAATACCAGGTACTAAAACATAGTTACAGTAAATGAGCACTCACATTGATGCACGTGCAGATATCACCAAATGTTACTGACATGGCTTGACCTCCAAGTCTGTTGGCTTCTTTGATTGTTAAATTTTCCTCCTCAGCTTTGTTTCGACGGTCCTCTCTTTCTCTGTTTAGATCACAAGATGTTTTTTTTAGCTTAACAGGGAAGTCTATAGAAATGCGAGTGATTTTTTCAACATAGAAGTATTCTCACCTTTTCCTTCTTTCATCTTCTGCTGCCTTGGCTGGCAAAGGTAACCCATCAAAGACAACAAACGGCCTTACCCCGGTGTTCTTCACCGCCTGTAGATATCTTTGAAATATATTACCAAAACTTCAATTGAAAACAAAATAGCTTATACTTTCGAAAATGAATAGGGACTTATAATCACAAAAAACATTCCTATAAGATATAAAATGATCATCAGAACTAAAATGTCTCACCTCTCTCGATTTCCACGCTCAGTTATCGACACATACAAAGCCTTATAACCACAGTTTGGCCAGAAAATTCACACAAATTGACTTTTCTGCTGAAATTTTTCAGAAAAGGCCAGACACAGTTGATTCCCATAACGCATTCACAAAATTCAGCCACAAAGAGATATTTACTGCCTGCAAATGACTTAGATTTCAAAGTTCAACCATGAATCAGCGCCATCCCAGTTTGCACACCGCCTGGTAAGTAACAGTACCTTGAATCCAACTAACTCAAACCCTAAATTCCCTAGTTTACCAAAAATGAGGGGTTTGAAATTGCTTTTCTCAATATCTATAGTCTTACTTGTCATTATGATGAACTGTGCATTTTCATGGAAGATAGAACAATTGATATCCTTGGTTTGAATGAAACTATATTGGATAATACTATTCCCAATAAACAGGATGATATCGAGGGATACGATATACTTCGCCATGATGAGAATAGAAATGGCGGCCCAGTAGCTTTTTATGTTGCACAATCCTTGACTTGCGTTAACAGACAAGATCTCTTATCTCACGAAGATTTAGACATTTTGACGGTTGAGATTAAAAAACAAAGTCCAAGCCTTTCTTGGTGAGAACTTCGTAAAGACCTCCAGATTCCAAGGTAGAAATTTTTGACAAATTTGAATCATACCTACTAAAACTTGATCAAGAAGATAAAGAGAATATTATTATGGGTGACACAAATTGTAATCTCCTGTTGCAAACGTTTGACCACAAGGCCGAACACTTGAAGTTCATTACTGAAACTTACTAATATATTCAATAAATAGATCAACCAACAAGAATTACTTCTAGCACTAGAACACTACTCAATCACATATTTACTAATAAACCACATATAATAACAAACGATGGGGTCTTGCATGTTGGCATTTCTGACCACATTATTATCTATGCTACTCATAAACATAATACACTGAAAGCTGATCCAAAAAAATAGAATCTAGACAATTAAAAAAATTTGACTGTCATGCCTTCATTGAAGACATTAAAGAGACACCTTTCCACTTTGCTTCTCTTATGGATGACCCAAACAAGATGTGGGATGTCTGGAAATCTTTATTTCTGGAAGTTGCAAATAAACCTGCCCCTATGAGGAAAAGAAAAGTGAAAAGTAAATGTTCACCATGGATAACAGCCGAACTGAGGCAGAAAATGAGAAAGTGCGACTTTTTAAAAAATCAAGCAGTTAAGAGGAATTCTCATCGAGTGTGGAACAATTATAAAAAGGCAAGAAATGAAGTAAATGCTACTATTTGGGAAGCCAGGGCTAATTTCTTTAATGATAGCATTAAGAAGCATAGTGGTGATTTGAAGGAAACCTGGAATGTAATAAATAGTTCCCTGGGTCACAAGCCTAAAATGACAGTTATAAATGAACTTGTTTATGAGGGTTAAGATTTTGTAAAAAAAACAAAATATAGCTGAACAATTGAATAACCGCTTTTGTATCTGGCATCTGGTATTTCTGATACTGCTTCTCAACCAGAGGATTTTTTAAATAGAACCGATTTAAATTTTTGTTTTCGCCCGGTAAACGTACGATACATCCTATTTTTAAGTCTGCTGAAAGAAATATTCCAAGCAACTATCGACCAATTTCTATTCTACCTGCCATATCGAAAATTACGAAGTGTTCTCTTAAAAATATGACAAAATTCCAAGGTTAAGAACACGTAGGAAAAAAAACCTGGCACCTCGAGTCTGTCATGTGTCACACAACTTCAACAACACTTGCTCTCATAGTTTAATCAGTTTGTTATATTTCAATTTAGTCTTTCTCAAATTTGTTTGGAGAGAGAGACAAAATTTATTGAACACAGACAGGTCATGAAAACATAATTGTGTGATTTCTGAAACTTGCGCAGCAATTACTTAAGTTGTGTCTTTTTTCACTGGTATGGTATGGGGAATTGTCGCTCCTGTAAAGTCATTGTCCGCCAGCTGAGCATTGGAGTTTTCCATCAAGTTTATGATGGCAAGATAAAATGTCTGGGGTCTGCACTCACAACAGTGATCACAAAAAACTTGGTTTGGCACTGCTGAAAAACTTTGGCATGACACTTAACCTGAACTTTTCCTTTCACATGCTTGTCGCGCACATGTCAAGCAGCTTAAATCAGAGAAGTTTCTCCTTGCTTAAGTGCTTATTGAGGGTTGATCGGAGCCCATAGAACAATATGTATTATGTGATTATTATGTGATTATGTGATGATTCTCAAAACTTCAGAAAAATAAAAGAAAAACAACAAAATGATATCAGTACAATCCATTCCTGCTAGATCAAAAAAAAAGTGTTGTGTAAATAGCAACCTCAATTACAAGACTGTAATTTTGTTTGCCAAATAGTGAAAAAACCGACAATGGCTTAACCTTGTAGGGCTACGCGATGTTGATACTTGTATAACATTACACAACCTCTTTATCTTCTTTTGCATGAACTGATAACTACAGTAGTTCCATTTATCCATAAACCCTTTATTTGTTCGTGTATGGCCTTGCATGCAAATAGCCTTCAAGTATTGATTACATTTCGGGCATTGCATTACACTAGCACTGTTAAGGTCTTTAAAATCCAGGACACGACGGCTCTAAGATGCCAAAGAAAGTTAAATATCTAGGCAGGGTGCATAGTGCACATGCCCAAGGAGTTGTATCAGTGCCACCAAGTCATGTCGAGAATGTGATATGGCAAAGTTTAGCATTGTGTACAGAACATGAGTATAAAATAGTTTTTTTATCCATGAAAATAATACTTTGTCAACCTTAAACCTCTCATGCTCTTACGCACTGAAACAACTAGAGTTTAAACTGTTTAAAAAAACAGCAAGCATTGGAGAGAGAAAAGAGGAAACACTGGCCAAACAGCAGCTGCAAACACAACAGCAACAGACAGAAATGTTTAAAGTCATGCAGCAACAACAAGAACAGTCAAGGGCAATGATGGCTTTATTGGAGAAATTAACCAATAAGTGATCTTTGGATTTGTGTCAGCAGTCAGGTTTTACAGCATATTTTGCTGCACCAGGGACCGCGCAGGGGGTGGGGCTGGGGGAGCTTCAGCCCCCCCCAACTTTTTTGGCTGTTGATGTTAGAACATTGAATTTTCAAACGTTAGTCTCAATAAATTTGCAAAATGTTACATCCATTCAGTTACAGCCGTAAAATTTCCAACTCATGGTGCTGAAATTAAAACATTAAAGCTTATCGAAACACCTTGCATTCGTAATTGGACTTTCACAATGGTTTAACTTAGTTTCGACTTATCCGCTTCTTTCTTATTCAAGAAAAATCAAGTCCCTTGCTTTGAGCGGTACTCGGTTTGCGTAGTAGAAGACATTTCCAATAACTAATGTTATATATTTCAAGAGTGTTATATGGATTTCGGCATCCCCTGTACGACTATTAAACCCTGACTAACATTTTAATCGAACCCGTGATTGAAGTTTTACCCGTGATCACAACTTCCACCGATCAAGGCAAGATCTCTTCCTATCACACCTTATTCCATGATCACAACATGATGACTGTGCAATCACTGGTCAAAAGTTTTTACCCATGAGCAAGCTATGTGTGATCACACGCCAATTTTTTCACTGGTGTAAAGCGCAGTTGTGAATTTCAATTACGATTGATCAGAATGAGGTAACATTAAATCAAAAGGGAGTTCAAATGAGGAAGTTGTATGCACAGAAATTGGCATTCAGAGGAGTTTGATTATTAATTCACCCCACTTAAAGGTCAATTGCCAACCTTGTGCTCAAGTGCTGTTACACTGCTTTATTCTTTCCTCATACTGCTCCTGAGTGGAATCATCTACCCCCTGACATTCGAAACACTTCTTCTGTTGACTACTTCAAGTCTTCTCTTATGAAAGACCAACACACTAACGATTTCATCAGTAAAAGCCATGACTATAACTAAATAACCCCTGACCATCCTTCCTTTGCACACAAATAGATTGAGATTTAGCTTTAGAATGGCTTTTGCAAAGATTTGGTATCTGTTCCAAATATAAAACAATAGAAATTATTATCAAAATCAAAGCAAATTTTTACAAAGAGATTGCTCTGTTTACGACCCTTGTCACTTTGTCATAATTTTCCTTTTAATCTGCTGCAAATTTCCTTGTTTCAAACTTAAAATCTAAATATATATTCTATCCCCGTTGTAGGATACTTCAACAAGACTCAGATTTTTTTAATTTGTGCTTAAATTGAATCTAATAACACAATAATTTTCAAATCAAGCACAGTTAATTGTTTCTCGCAGGATACTTCAAAATTTTGATGGTGTTAACCGCCACTCCACATCTTTAAAACATGTGATGGAAAAGTATCACAAGGTTACTCCAGACAAAGAAAACTGCCTCACCCATTTTGAGATCTTCTGCATTTTAAAAGATATTCCTGTACATCATGGAATCAAGAATTGGAACCCCACAAGTAAGAAACAAAGTATAATGATAATAAAGGATGTATGTATGTGTGTAAAGTATGTTTAAATTTGGCCGCTGCAGCATTTCAGATTGTTAGACATGGCTTAACCTGAAGGCATACAAACCTTTATCAGTGTCACCACAAAGATCATCTTAATGGAAATCCGGTAGTGCATAAGGCGAGAGATTGACAACAATGGGTGCCGATTTAGACACTATCTTGTATTTGGACTCTGTTTGTTTCCAAAAGGAAGAGCCGAAATAGAAATGGAGGTATTACAGGGGAATGTGAACGGTGGCCAGTTGGGAGGAAAGAAACAAGCCTTCGCCATCGCTCGGTAATGTACGGGGGCCTCATTGGAGTTTCAAGCAAATCAGGAATGTGTGGTAATTGCAAATTTCCCAGATGTAGCCGGAACAAATACCAAAACGATCTGACCCTGGCAAGAAACAATGAGAAAATTCAGACCAAACAGAGGGAGAGGGACAGCATCTGGACAAAGCCTAAAGCTGCAGGACGGGAAGTGTTTATAATGGAATGACCAGCGTAGAGACGCCTATCTCAGAAAACAAAATTAAAGTGGCAAAGCTAGAATTTGATAAGGAAGACAATTCAGATTTCAAATTGATTTTTGCAAAAATTCCACGCACGAAGCTACCTGAAGATCTTATACTATTCTGGGAGGAAGAAGAAAAGGTATTAGGAGCAGATGTAGCATCCATTTGAACAATAATTGTTCAAATGGATGCTACAATTATTGCAATTATTGCACAGGCATGCTAGCAGCAACAGCCATATTCGCGCCAGAGAGAAGTCACTTGCAGAAGTAAAAAACAATTGCAGAAAGTCAGATCTTCCAATCTTTCGCAAAGATAAAGAAAGACATGCAGTCATAAGAACGCAAAGAAATGGAAATCAAACTAAACAATGCATACCTTGTAGCAAAAGAAGAACTATTCTTTTCTAAATTTGAAGGCTTGCTTTCACTGCAGAGAAAAAATGACCTCAGCATTAACTTCACATAAGCAAATAAGAAAAGCTGTGCAGAATCTGATGATGAAGGACGCACAGAATCTTAAGGCATCCAAATGGAAGGAAGTCTAGAGGGAAAAGTAAAGGGCTCTGGCACAGGCCTAAGTTTCTCCTGAAGTCAACAAGGCTGTCAATCTTTGTATGGCTGGTCTTAAAGAATACTCTGGCATGTTAATGAATATGCCTAGCTCCTCTATCAAGAACTCCTCATATGGCCCACCTAACGTGGTCCAAGATCTTTTGGTCCTGAATGTTGACTCCTGGCCAGTAAAAGATTCAGCTTTGATTGACTTCGGGAACACTAATACCGAAAGGCTGGTTAATTGGTTTGATCCAGTGCTAAGGGCAGCAGGATGCCAATTCCAGGATGTTATCAACCAGTGGCACTCTTTGAAGATTTCTGTCAATCCTTATTTCTATAACAAGGTCTACTGCAGCTTGTGGAGAATGTTACTCTCCAAAGATCCATATAAAACTGATCTTACAGACACTTTTCATCTTGTTGAGATTTTCCTTGTCCTGCGCGCCATATCGGCTGTTTGTTGTGAAAGAATGTTCTCTGCTCAGAACAGAATTAAAAGTAGCCTCTGAGCTTCCTTGAAGACGCCAACACTAGAAGGTTTAATTCTAATATAGGCTCAGGGTCCATCACTAGAGGCCTTCGACCCACAAGGGATATGGGTATGTTTTAGAACCCATAGACACAGATCACGAAACAAGAGAACAAATCAATACAGAAGCTGATAATGTCAGTATGGACATGTAACTAACACAGTTAAGCTAAGTCACTTTTTTGCTTCATTCACTTAATATCTTTAAGTCAGTATGTGTGACTAAACCAGGTCATTTTTGAGTCAAATAACTCAAATTTATATAAATATCTGATCTATAAGCTAAAGAGTTGCAATAAAAAGAGGGTAGTAAAGGGTACTTTTGTCAACCGTGAATTGCTTGTTTTTTTCCCTGTGAATTGTGAAATCACCGTTCTATTTCTTGTTAAACGTGAGTTTTGACAATAATTATCTGTGAAACGAGAATCCAGTGTTTGATTCACCGTGAACTGTGATTTTCCTTCATGTTTTTTATAATTTTTCAAGAGAAATGATAACTTCAACGGTTCAATTGAACTGCTGGGTACACATTACATTTCTGAACATCATTCTCAACCCAGGATCTTTAACACATGGCCACAACAACCAAGGGAATGTGGAAAAGTAGAAACAAGATCAGAAGGTCACAAGATTCTATAGAGTAGAACTGTTTTGATGAGTTTTTTTTTATAGCAGATGGTAACAAGAAATTCTTAATCCACGAGGAGAAGTCCCACATTCGGTTGTCCTTCACAGCACGCAAACATTTTGATGCCTTCAAAACAGCTGTGCTTGTTTTTGTGTAATACGATCGTTAGCTGAAGTGAAAGGTAAGGGAAATAATACTGATTGCTCCTTCATGTGTACAATCAGACATGCTGGAAGTCCTGGAACTGTAGAAACCTTTTCCATTAGAACAACAACAATGGGCAACTGAAATCCCCTTTCTACTGGAACAGGAAGGTTTTCTGCAAGGTATGTTTAGCATTGTAAATTTATTTGAAGATCTTTGAATCATTGCACAATAATGCAAACTGTTTACTCAATGTGGCAATGTGACAGCTGTCACACTAAGGATGTAAACTTACGCAAGCAATCGAAGAATGCATAAGATATGTACATTTCAAATGGGGCACTTTTTCTTTTGCACAACAGAGGGATGACAAAGATTGGCTTAGAAACACGAGAACAGTCAGTTCTCCTGTCAAACAGCACTCCTTCATGCACGGATGTACAAGGCATAGCCCCATTTGGAGGCCAGGATGAGACAGTCTTTGCAGATAGGAGAAGCAGGCAAATCAAGACAGTGTTGACTGGTGGAAATGTTCAGGTCATCGCTGGTTTAGGAGCTGAAGGTATCAGTGACAGTACTTGGGCTTTATTTTCTCAGCCTATGGGTGTTTGTGTAGAGAACAAAAAGAACATTTTTGTTACAGATGCCTAAGTTAAGTTACCAGTAATAACAGATGTTGGACATGCAGTCAAATTTCTTTAAAATAAAAAAACTATACCAGGCCTTTACAGTTCACCAGAAGCACAAGTGACTACACACTGCAAGTTTACAAGAGGCGGAGGAGAAGGTAAAGCCTGCTTTTGGTTATTTTCAAGGTAACATTCAATGTGTGCAGCCCCTGTTGGGAAAAAACAAGGAAGGCACTATTGCAAGTAAGGCAGTCAAGTCAGTAAACATGATTAGTCAGGGGCTACCAAGATTAACAAAGTTTAGTTTACTGATGAAAATAACATTCTAGATGATTTGATGTGTGCCTCATTGATCTGGTCCTTTGTGGTTCTACCTGCACCAGCTGAAGTGCAGGTATAACCAGTCCCTGTGACAACCAGCTGATGCTATGGATGATTGGCTACTTCCTGTAGACCTAGAACTTACTGCAAATTGCACCTGCTTTAATGGTTCAAACAAGTGTCAGCATTCCTTCTTTGATTAAGACTACATTACATGCATCAACGAGTTACAGCTGAATGACCACATCTCATCTAAACTGTCAAGTACTGATGAAAATGTAGAGGATGATGAAAATGTGGACAATGTTGCACTTGATGACGAAGTGGATGACGGTGATGATATTGCATCATCTGACGAGGTGGTCTGGTATTGCCAGTATTTCCGATAAAAGGAGCAGCATGGGATGAAAGATACCAAAAGGCTTTGCAAATATGTTCAAGAAAGCTATTACTTGAGAAGGAGGTTCAAATAAGAGTGACCCCAGAGCCAGAAAACATGAGCGACAAAAATGCGCTTACATTTGAAACGTTGTATCAAGACAGGTGGCTTACTTTGGGGTATTGTGGCCTTCCCAAAATCCCAAAGCTATCGAAGGCAATAAACCAAAAACAAATAGCAAGTGTTTTGATTACAAACTTGAGAAGATATTGGGTACCAGACATTAAAGACCAGATTTTCTGCTGGAGTGAACATTGTGGAAAAGGGGGGTATGGGAAAAAGATGAGTCCAAAAATATATACAATTCTACTTTATGAGTATATGTTTTAGCATATTAAAGCTAGCAAACAGAAGGTTTAAGAAGTGAAAGAGTGCATAAAAACTAAAACCGTGATTTTGATAAATTGCTAGATTCTCATTTCAAATTTCCTTGTATTTAGTTATGAAGCAAGGGGAGAATAACATAACATCAAGAGCAACTTAGGGTCTTCATTCACACACCACTTTCAAAGTTATTATTTTATTGTCTAGTTAGGGTCAAGTAAGAGTTTGTTATAGACTAGACCATTCTCTTCCTTTGTNCTTTAATGGTTCAAACAAGTGTCAGCATTCCTTCTTTGATTAAGACTACATTACATGCATCAACGAGTTACAGCTGAATGACCACATCTCATCTAAACTGTCAAGTACTGACAAAAATGAAGAAAATGATGAAAATGTGGACAATGTTGCACTTGATGACGAAGTGGATGACGGTGATGATATTGCATCATCTGACGAGGTGGTCTGGTATTGCCAGTATTTCCGATAAAAGGAGCTACATGGGATGAAAGATACCAAAAGGCTTTGCAAATATGTTCAAGAAAGCTATTACTTGAGGAGGAGGTTCAAGTAAGAGTGACCCCAGAGCCAGAAAACATAAGCAACAAAAATGCGCTTAGGGTATTGTCGCCTTCCCAAAATCCCAAAGCTATCGAAGGCAATAAACCAAAAACAAATAGCAAGTGTTTTGATTACAAACTTGAGAAAATATTGGGTACCAGACATTAAAGACCAGATTTTCTTCTTTCTGAATATTGTGGAAAAGGGGGGGTATGGGAAAAAGATGAGTCCACAAATATATACAATTCTACTTTATGAGTATATGTTTTAGCATATTAAAGCTAGCAAACAGAAGGTTTAAGAAGTGAAAGAGTGCATAAAAACTAAAACCGAGTGATTTTGATAAATTGCTAGATTCTCATTTCAAATTCCCTTGTATTTAGCTATGAAGCAAGGGGAGAGCAACATCAAGAGCAACTTAGGGTCTCCATTCACACACCACTTTCAAAGTTATTATTTTATTGTCTAGTTAGCGTCAAGTAAGAGTTTGTTATAGACTTCCCATTCTCTTCCTTTGTTCAGGTTATGTTCCCAGTTTTTTGGTACATGAAAACACTGAATAGTGCAAATTACAGACAGTAATCCCATGGAAAGTTTCACACCAGATAAACAGACCAAAATCAATTTGTTTTCTTATGCGTTAATGTGTTGATATACTGAGCTCATGTCAACTGATGAAGGCACAAAACAATGACTAACATGAATGACAAGGAGGTAGAGCATGATTTGTGGATATCATTGAATACAAACATTCCAGTTTAGCAGCAAAAATTAGTGTTTTGTTAACTTTCTTTATGCTACTTTTCTCCAGTTGATTCTTAAAAAATTGTTCACATGCAGTGAAGGAGCATTTTAATATTAGCAATTTTACTTACAACTGTAGGAATCCACTTACAGTTATAAAACACCCATTAAGTTAATGGCTTAATGACATTTTTGTGAAGGGCTAATTTCCTGGTTGTTTGTCTTATCTGCATCTGGGATGGAGATAGGGAAATAGTTAGAATTCCTTGCAGGCTCAAATCATGCAATCAATGCTTTGTGATTCATTGTTGGTTCAGATAGCAACGCAGGAACATCGTCAGTCTTTGACTCAACTTCTACGCGCACTGTGCTAAGGCAAGTACGCTACTTTGTTATTTCTTCGTAGCATGCGTAGCGCTTACGTGTAGTTTTCTCTCTCGATGTGTAGTTATGGCTGAACCTCAGGTTTTGATTTTGGGGCAGTCCTTCATCAGGTGTTTGCATGAGTTGGTGCGTCTGCCTACAAACGCTTTACGGGAGGATTTTGACATCACCACCCCTATGAACCTGCGCTGGCATGGAGTAGGGGGACGAACTGTGGCCAAAGTCATACGCTACGATTTGGAGATAGTCCGACAATTTTCACCTGACATTGTACTGAACGATATCAGTGATCGTTCAATCCGTTCTGCTCTAACTGTCGGTTCACAGTTAGAGGACCTAACAAAGCTATTACATGAACAATTCGGCGTAACCGTGGTTTGCGTGTGCCAAACTATACTAAGAGAGAACGCGCACTTAAACGTACGCATTCGCACATTGACGGATTATTTACGCGTTGTCCTACAGCCCCTTCCATTTGCATTTTACTGGAGACACAGGGGATTTTGGAGGACAACACAGTCATTCTTATTGCACGATGGAGTTCATCTGAACCAACGTGGACCGTTTAAACTTTATCGAAGTTTGAGGGGGGCTTTGATCCAATCACTTAAAGTGTTTAATGATGTACAAAGTTAGAGTCTTAGATCTGTACTATAGCTCATTATTTCCTCTTTATTGGACATTTTGCCAAGTTAAATATTCTTTTTGCGTTGGTACTTGGTAGTGTAATTCGCCATTGTACTCACAACGTATTGTTTGTCCTTGAGCCTTGTTTGGCCGGTCACGGTTGATTTTATGCTTTGTCTCCAAATGAGTGGGCCGCCTGTGTTGCGTGCCATAGCACTCGGAGTCCCAAGCTATTTGTACGTATTTGAGGATACGAGCGTACGATCTAATGACAATTCTTAATTTTAATACCGCATTTATTTGACCTGTGGCAGTTATTGCGATACAACTACAGATTACGACTTACACGAGAACATTAATACGTTTGGATAAATTAACACTCTCTATTCTTTACAAGTACGCCTCCACGAAGTAAGCGTCTGAGACGCTCTGGCCCTTCTGCCTCTACAGTAAACAGCATGGCAACCAGTACCGCTAGCACGTCGAGCAGCTTGTCAAATAGTACCTCTAATCAACAAGATGGCACGATGCAAGTACATGTTACAGTGCTGTCCAGTGCCCTTTCTCTGGCTGTCCAAAAGGCCGTCCAGGACGCGCTACGACCACCACCGTCAGTAACAACGTCAACTAACGCAGCATCAACGTCGACCGTGGTGTCCGCCCATGTGCCTACTACAGCCTCGATAGTCTAGGACTCTGTTGTGCAAGCGACGCAAGCTATTACCGGGACTTCTGGAGGTAATATTGTATCACCTAACATGCAGAGTATGCCAACCACACCCCTTTTTCAAGCGTCGCCATCCCCCTTGGAAGTGCAGTTAGCGACAAAATAAAATCAAAAATTTGGGCTAATGAATTTGTACACCTTGGAGCACTGCTCCAAACCGCGGTTCCACAAGAGCGTTTTGCTCTTGGGCTTTCGGCTACAGGCAATGGCAATAAGCCGCAGATTACATTAGAGCCAGCTAGCGCCCCACGTAAACTGAATAGTATTCAGCAGTGGGTCACGGTGTTCCACACGTTTATGGCCATTTATTGCCAGAAGTTCGCAGGGGACACGGCCGCTTTGCTAAAATATTGTGAGACCGTTTGTGCCATTGCAAACAAAAACGGAAACTGGGCTTACTATGATAAGCAATTTAGATATTTGCGCCAGTCCGCCCCGGATAGGTACCCTTGGGAGGAAGTCCAGTGGGAGTTATGGCTCGAAGCCACTTCAGTTAACTTGCCTTTTCGTCCCCAGAGAGGTAACTTTTCCGCCGGGCGAGTCGGAAAATCACGAAAAATCCCTCTCGTTCAAGGAACATGCTTTAACTTTGATAACAGGAGGTTGTGTTCCAGATGTTCCTTTACCCACATCTGCTCCCGATGTGGAGGTAAGCACGCAGCCAGAAATTGCTCAGAGGGAGGGGAGCCACCAACCTCGAGCATTAAGCCTAGTGGAACAACAGCGGTTAGCGCGTCTACTAGAGAGCAATCCAGTCACCCCCGTAAGAATTGATCGTCTCACTTCAGTTCTGCGTGATTACGACCCCTTATTAAACAATTTTTTGATACAAGGCTTCTCATATGGGTTTCATATTCATTACTCTAATTTAAGATCAAGCTTCGAATCTCTATATTTGCTTAGTGCCAACGATCAACCAAACATCGTAACGGATAAATTACACAAGGAAATCGAAGCCGGTAGGGTTGCAGGCCCATTAAGCGCCCCGCCGTTCGATAATTTTGTCGTGTCACCATTAGGAATCGTCCCTAAGAAAGCACCCAATGAGTTTCGACTTATACAACATTTGTCATATCTGCATGAGAATTCGGTTAATTCAGGAATTCCGGTAGACTTTTCTTCGGTACGCTATGCGTCCATTCAAGATGCAATAGTGTTTGTAAAACGTTTAGGAGTTGGCTGTTATCTCGCTAAAACTGATATCAAATCTGCCTTTAGAATTATTCCAACGATATCAGTGATCGTTCAATCCGTTCTGCTCTAACTGTCGGTTCACAGTTAGAGGACCTAACAAAGCTATTACATGAACAATTCGGCGTAACCGTGGTTTGCGTGTGCCAAACTATACTAAGAGAGAACGCGCACTTAAACGTACGCATTCGCACATTGACGGATTATTTACGCGTTGTCCTACAGCCCCTTCCATTTGCATTTTACTGGAGACACAGGGGATTTTGGAGGACAACACAGTCATTCTTATTGCACGATGGAGTTCATCTGAACCAACGTGGACCGTTTAAACTTTATCGAAGTTTGAGGGGGGCTTTGATCCAATCACTTAAAGTGTTTAATGATGTACAAAGTTAGAGTCTTAGATCTGTACTATAGCTCATTATTTCCTCTTTATTGGACATTTTGCCAAGTTAAATATTCTTTTTGCGTTGGTACTTGGTAGTGTAATTCGCCATTGTACTCACAACGTATTGTTTGTCCTTGAGCCTTGTTTGGCCGGTCACGGTTGATTTTATGCTTTGTCTCCAAATGAGTGGGCCGCCTGTGTTGCGTGCCATAGCACTCGGAGTCCCAAGCTATTTGTACGTATTTGAGGATACGAGCGTACGATCTAATGACAATTCTTAATTTTAATACCGCATTTATTTGACCTGTGGCAGTTATTGCGATACAACTACAGATTACGACTTACACGAGAACATTAATACGTTTGGATAAATTAACACTCTCTATTCTTTACAAGTACGCCTCCACGAAGTAAGCGTCTGAGACGCTCTGGCCCTTCTGCCTCTACAGTAAACAGCATGGCAACCAGTACCGCTAGCACGTCGAGCAGCTTGTCAAATAGTACCTCTAATCAACAAGATGGCACGATGCAAGTACATGTTACAGTGCTGTCCAGTGCCCTTTCTCTGGCTGTCCAAAAGGCCGTCCAGGACGCGCTACGACCACCACCGTCAGTAACAACGTCAACTAACGCAGCATCAACGTCGACCGTGGTGTCCGCCCATGTGCCTACTACAGCCTCGATAGTCTAGGACTCTGTTGTGCAAGCGACGCAAGCTATTACCGGGACTTCTGGAGGTAATATTGTATCACCTAACATGCAGAGTATGCCAACCACACCCCTTTTTCAAGCGTCGCCATCCCCCTTGGAAGTGCAGTTAGCGACAAAATAAAATCAAAAATTTGGGCTAATGAATTTGTACACCTTGGAGCACTGCTCCAAACCGCGGTTCCACAAGAGCGTTTTGCTCTTGGGCTTTCGGCTACAGGCAATGGCAATAAGCCGCAGATTACATTAGAGCCAGCTAGCGCCCCACGTAAACTGAATAGTATTCAGCAGTGGGTCACGGTGTTCCACACGTTTATGGCCATTTATTGCCAGAAGTTCGCAGGGGACACGGCCGCTTTGCTAAAATATTGTGAGACCGTTTGTGCCATTGCAAACAAAAACGGAAACTGGGCTTACTATGATAAGCAATTTAGATATTTGCGCCAGTCCGCCCCGGATAGGTACCCTTGGGAGGAAGTCCAGTGGGAGTTATGGCTCGAAGCCACTTCAGTTAACTTGCCTTTTCGTCCCCAGAGAGGTAACTTTCCCGCCGGGCGAGTCGGAAAATCACGACAAATCCCTCTCGTTCAAGGAACATGCTTTAACTTTGATAACAGGAGGTTGTGTTCCAGATGTTCCTTTACCCACATCTGCTCCCGATGTGGAGGTAAGCACGCAGCCAGAAATTGCTCAGAGGGAGGGGAGCCACCAACCTCGAGCATTAAGCCTAGTGGAACAACAGCGGTTAGCGCGTCTACTAGAGAGCAATCCAGTCACCCCCGTAAGAATTGATCGTCTCACTTCAGTTCTGCGTGATTACGACCCCTTATTAAACAATTTTTTGATACAAGGCTTCTCATATGGGTTTCATATTCATTACTCTAATTTAAGATCAAGCTTCGAATCTCTATATTTGCTTAGTGCCAACGATCAACCAAACATCGTAACGGATAAATTACACAAGGAAATCGAAGCCGGTAGGGTTGCAGGCCCATTAAGCGCCCCGCCGTTCGATAATTTTGTCGTGTCACCATTAGGAATCGTCCCTAAGAAAGCACCCAATGAGTTTCGACTTATACAACATTTGTCATATCCG